TGTCTTCCAGAGAGTTACTTTCTGTAGCTGTAATTCGGTATCTTCATCTCTGAAAAAGGAATAATGATAGTTGATTGATAAGATTGTTAAAGAAGAGCAAACTATCTTTTTATCAACACTTCCTGTGAGCCCACATGACAGGTCACAATTTTAAATGCCCTCCAGGACAAGTGAGTAATGTGAATGGAAGTATTTTGTGTGAAGTGGAGGCAGGCGGGCCATATGAAACAGTGGGGCTTATGGCAATTGAAGAGAATGCTCCCCTCCTGAGAAGAGAGCCACTCTTGTTAGCTTAGTTCAGGGTTTTGAAAGTTTGGTCCCTTGAGCAGCACCTCTAGTGCCTTGGAAACCTTGTTGATGCAGCTACTCAGGTCCTACCATGTGCTACTGAATCCAAAATCTGGGGATGAAGATCTCAAATCTGTGTTTGGCCAAATGGTTAAGGGATTCTGATGCTCACTCACATTGACACCCACAGTCCTTATTAAATACCAGGACTGTGATGCCAGTTGGGTTACTTGTCCTGCATTGATAGAAATTTTTTAAATTAAATCTCCCATTTTATTGGCATAGAGCTGCTGGTAGTAGTATCTTATGATCCTTTGTATTTCAGTGTTGTCTGTTGTGATCTCTCCATTGTGGAGATTTCTTAAAAAACTGGAAATAGAACTGTCATATGACCCGTCAATCCCACTTCTGGGTATACACGCTGAGGAAACCAGATCTGAAAGAGACACACGCACCCCAATGTTCATCGCAGCACTGTTTTTAATAGCCAGGACATGAAAGCAACCTCGATGCCCATCAGCAGACGAATGGATAAGGAAGCTGTGGTACATACACACCATGAAATATTACTCAGCCATTAAAAAGAATTCATTTGAATCAGTTCTAATGAGATGGATGAAACTGGAGCCCATTATACAGAGTGAAGTAAACCAGAAAGATAAAGATCAATACAGTATACTAATGCATATGTATGGAATTTAGAAAGATGGTAATGATAACCCTATATGCAAAACAGAAAAAGAGACACAGATGTACAGAACAGACTTTTGGACTCTGTGGGAGAAGGCAAGGGTGCGATGTTTTGAGAGAACAGCATCGAAACATGTATATTATCAAGGGTGAAACAGATCACCAGCCCAGGTTGGATGCATGAGACAAGTGCTCAGGGCTGGTGCACTGGGAAGACCCTGAGGGATGGGGTGGGGAGGGAGGTGTGAGGGGGGATCGGGATGGGGAACACATGTAAATCCATGGCTGATTCATGTCAATGTATGGAAAAAACCACTACAATATTGTAAAATAATTAGCCTCAAACTAATAAAAACAAATGGGAAAAAAATAAATTAAATCTCCCACTGTGAAGTCTTATAAACGCCTAAAATTGTAAAATCACCTCTGTGAGCTTATATTGCATATAGTCTAGCCAGATGTGCAACCTCTAGTTTATGCTTCCTTTTAATCTTGGACATAATTTAAAAAAATATACCATGGGGCTCAAAAGTCAGGTGCTCTGTATCATGTAGCAAGAAAGCAATCACCCATTACTTGGATATGAAAGTACCTCTCCCATGGCACAGTATTTGAGATATCTAAAATCTTATCTCTGCCCCAGGTGCATTCCATCCATTTGAAGATGTGGCCTTAGATAGCATGGAATTGAAGATTACCATTATTCAGATGGAGATACTGAGGAACAGAAGCAGAGATATGACCGGGGGTCCCAGAGGGTTGGCATCACTTGTCTTCATCCAGTATACATCCACTGTTTGTTCCTGTCCTGCAGTTTCTCTAAAGAGGCCTGCATGCAGGGGTCAGCAAGGTTTCTAATTAGAGACCACACTTATATGAGCAGGCAGCATGGAGGTGGAGTCAGAACTGGCCCATCAGGGGGCTTGCAGAACTGGGGGCCTCTAATTTTGACCAGAGTAAGGAGGACCGGGAGAGGAGAACACTGGGAGAAAAAGACAAGCCGATGAGAGAGGAGAGGGGAGAAGAGAGGAGTTTCTTTTGGGGAGAGTCTCAGCTCCTCTGTGGTCTCAGATGCAGACGTTGAGGCAGGAAGAGAGGCAGGGCAGAGCGCCTTCTGAACGTGAATCCTTGTTGTACCATCTGCAGGTTGTGTGTCCTGAGCAAGTGGCATTACCTCTCTGAGCCTCTCCTTTCTGCTTGACACTCTGGTATGAGAATCCCAGATATTGTAGAACTGACATGAGGCTAAATGAAATCATGCATGTGGAATGTCTCAGGAAAGAGGGACCCTCCACTCACAGTGGCTTCTTTTGTGAGTCACCCACTCCCGATGCACATGTGTACTAAGCCAGCTTGGTAGTGAGAGCTTCTGCCATTCTCAACGGTGCTCTATGTTTGTAACTACAAACTAATAAACAATAAACTGATAAACACGAGTGAGTGACGGGATGGTGGATGTGACTTGTGTGCCCTCTAATTTACAGCTTGCAATGCAGCAGAGTGCATGTGCATAGACTCTAAGTCAGATCACTGGGCCCAAATCCTCTCTCTACAAGCTATGATCTAAGTAAATTACTTTATTTCTTGTTAACTCAGGTACCTCTTCAGTAACATGCAGATATGTCAACAGTTTCTCCCCCTTTCTTTAAGGATTTCTTAGGATTAGAGGAATTTTATGTTTCATGTGTTTAGGATAATGCCTGCTACAATGAAGGATTTAAATTTTAATTAGAGTAACTACTCGTTACTACTACAAAGACTTTAACTTCTAGGGAGAAGGAATATATGCCTGTTGCATCCATTGCTTCCATGGCAACAACATGAGTGTGCAGCATGGATCTCAGGTAACACCTGAAGACATGTAATTCTGAGAGGCTTAAACCCTCAGGCACAAAGTTAGGAAAATGCAGAGCTGGTACCCACACCGAGGTCCTATGTCCCCGTTGCCATTGAGGGAGAGAGCAGGAGGAAGGGGGTGGCTATTTGTGGCCTTCCGAGGCCCCCTGATATACACTCAGGCAGACAGCTCTTTCCTGTTGGTGAAACCAGGTGAGGGATGACTGTTGGTACAAGTTCAGCTTCCTGCTTCCCCTCGTCCACAGAAATTAAAAGATGTGGGCTTCTATGAGTTGAATTTGGGGAGGGTTTCAGAAAGCTGGCTTTGTCTGGATGGATGATGTTTAGGAAGTGGAGTAATTCTCTGAAGAAGTGGAGTAGTTCTCTGAGTATCTTAATCTTAGCTTTAAGAAGGAAAGACTAGATAGAGGTTTGAGCTGTACTTGGCCAAGAAATAACACTCACACAAGAGAAGTGTTTGATCATATCGGTGATTTGTGTAATGTAGCTCCTTTGTTCAGTGCTCAAGCATGATTATCCAATATCCTATTTTTGTCTAGAACTTTCACCAACCTAGTATGGTCTCATCTGATGTTGAAGCATTGTAAAATGTTTATGTTGAGCAGGAGAACAGAAGGGCTGTTGGTGGTACCAGCTTAGGTCTTGGAACTCAGAGGTTGCTTTTCTCTTTCTCTATCAATCTCAAAGGATTGTGATGAGAGTGAAAGAGATGTATTTGTTAAATGCTTTGTTCAAATGTTAGCAGAGTAACCATTTGATGAATGTCAGATATGATAATAGTGATAGTAATACCATATTGTGCTGTTGTTCAGACACCCAGGCATGTCCCACTCGTTGCAACTCCATGGAGAGCAGCATGCCAGGCCTCCCTGTCCCTCACCATCACCCGAGTTTGCCCAAGTTTACATCCATTGCATTGGTGATACCATCCAGTCATCTCTTCCCCTGACACCTCTTCTCCTTCTGCCCTCAATCTTTTCCAGCATCAGGGACTTTTCCAATGAGTTGGCTGTTCACATCAGATGATCAAAATACTGGAGCTTCAGCTTCAGCATCAGACCTTCCAATGAGTATTCAGGGTTCATTTCCTTTAAGATTGACTAGTTTGATCTTTTTGCTGTCCAAGGAACTTCAGGAGTGTTCTCCAGCACCACAGTTCCAAAGCATCAATTCTTTGGCACTCTGCCTTCTTTCTGGTCCAGATCTCACAAGTATACATGACCAATGAGACCATAGACTTGACTATATGGAATTTTCTTGCAGAGTGATGTCTCTACTTTTCAACACACTATCTAGGTTTGTCATAACTTTGCTAAAAAGAAGCAATCTTCTGATTTCACACCTGCAGTCACCAACCACAGTGATTTTAGAGCCTAATTAGGGGGAACCTGTCATTACTTAACACCTTTTACCCTTCTATTTGCCATAAAATAATGGGGCCAGATCCCATGGTCTTAGCTTTTTAACTATTTAGTTGATGAAACCAGATGAGGGACAACTGTGGGTCATGCTGTGGATACATGTTCAGCTCCCTGCTTCTCCTCAGCCTCTTCCTTTATTCATTTTTCGATGCATAAACAGGGTTAGAGCCCAGGACAACATCACCTTCACCAGCTAAGTTCCTGCCTGGACAAATGCCTGGTAAAGTGCAAGTGTCCATCCATGGGAGAAGTTGTGGCAATGGTTGTAGGAAGGTGACCTGTGTCACACCTGTCATCTGAGGTAGGTGAGGGGGGTCAGAGCATTGAGGTCCAGGTGAGATGACTCATGCAGAAGGCTGAAATGGAGAACCTGGGCTAACACATTGCTAGTCACTTATCTGTCTTCTGACCTACCCTCATCCATTTACTTATCATCCATCACATGCCAGGCACTGCTCTAGGGTCTGGGATGCTCCCTCCATCTGTCTGATCACAATCTGTGTTTACATGAGACCCACAGGCATCATCAAGTCTGAGAAGTGTTCTTACTGAATATTTGAGCCCTGCAGACAGAAGCAGGAGGCATGGTTAGGTAGGGAGATTACGCAATAAACAGGACTGACCCAGCTCCTCCCCTTGCCCAATCCCCTCCTCATCACCTGATCCCACCCCTCAGCCAGTATATTAAAATGTCAGTCAGTCTGTCCTAAGCATCCTCAGGAGCCCTCCTGCAAGGCCACCAAGATGAGATGGCTTTGCCTCTCCGCAGCCCTTCTTGTCCTCCTGATCATCCTGGTGGACAGCGTCCCGGTGAATATACACCATATCCAGGATGAAGGTAGGTCCAGCCTCACTTCTCTTCTACAGCTTCTGGGAAAATGATGGAAGTCAATGAAAGTGGGTGGGGTAGGTGTGGATTGGGTGTTGCCAATCCTCTCTGGATTTCTCCTGTCATGCTGGCCAGGATTTTTGTTTGTTTCTTTGGTTTTGGCAGCACTGGTCTTCCTCCCTATCCAAGGATATTCTCTAGTTCCGGAGTCCTCTCTCTGGTTGCAGAGTGTGGAATCTTGTTGGGGTGGTTTCTCTTGTTGTAGATCAGGGTCTCTAGGCATCTGGGCTCAGTAGTTGCAGTTTACCTTCTTAGTTGCCGCAAGGCAAGTGGAATCTTCACAACCAGGGATAGAACCCAAGTCCTGTGCATTAGCATGTGGATTCTTTTCTATTGGACTACCAGGGAAGTCTTTAGTTGCAGACTTTTAACTCCACTGACATCATGACTCTCATGAGGATATTTATAAAAAAAAATATATATATATGTCTCAAAATTCTGCCAGATCAGGAACCCCATTTCTGAGAATCTCTATTTTTGTTCTGGGCCATGTCCCTGAACCTCACTTTAGTTCAGTAATAAAAGTAAGTAAAGTGAAACTCGTTCAGTCATGTCCAACTCTTTTCAACCCCATGAACTCTATCATCCATGGAGTTTTCCAGGCCAGAATACTGGAATGGGACCCCTTTGCCTTCTACAGGGGATCTTTCAAACACAGGGATTGAACCCAGGTCTCCCACATTTCTGGTGGATTCTTTACCAGCTGAGCCACTAGGGAAGCCCTGTATAGTAATAAAAAGCTTAAAATTTGAACCATCTCTTAGCTAATGGCCCAGGTCTCGTAAAACTCTTGCAGTTTCTTTACTTTAGATGTTATGAGATGAGTAACACAAGGCAACTCAAGGTAACCTTGAGGTGTGGTTTGTGTCCAAGAAACCACAAGAACCCATTTAACATTTACAGTTTTCAACAACTGTCATTCCAGCACCTCTGAGGAGAAGGGAGGGAACTGAAAGTGAGATCAATCACCAATGGCTTATCCAACCAATGTGCCTATTTAGTGATCCCTAGGAAGAAAGACATAAAAACTGGGCTCAGAGCTTGTGGGTTGGTGAATAAAGGAGTTGAAGTGAGGGTGCTATGCTCACTAGGGCACAGAGGCTGGGCACACCTCTCACTCCCTTTGCCTTACACATCTCTTCCATTTCGCTGCCTCGAGTTATATTTTGTACATTAATCTGGGAATAGTAAGCAATGGTTTCCTGAAGTTCAGCCACCGGTTCTACTGAGTTGTTGAATTTTGAAGTTGGGGTCATAGACCTGCCTGTCCCCCATTTTAGTTATTTGGTCTCAAGCATGATTGACTCGTGACCTCATGGCTGCCATCTGAACTGAGGAGAGTCTTGAGCCCTCAACCTTCAGAATCTGCAGTAACTCCATTGATTCCCATCAGAAGTAAATGGATTTGTTGAATACCCAGTGGGTGTCTGGGTAATTGGTGGCTGTTGGTAGAGACACCACATATTTGGTGTGAGGGAAAAACCCAGAATCACTCTCCCCTGTGATTGGCGGTTCAGGTGATGCTTCAAAGAGGGGGAGTAATGGAAGTACATATTGCACCCATAAATTGTTTCCACTGATCTGTATTTTCAGAGTTCCTGGGATAATCAAGGACTGTATCAAATAGGTTGTAACATGCCAGAATCTTGTCCTGGCCCTGAAACACACGTGCCATGTCCTGGGGCAAGTCATCTGCAATTTTCTCATCAGAACAGGGGATACATGTTACATGGCTTTTTGAAAAGATCACTAGTGATGAATATAAAAATTGAATCACATTTCATGGTGAATTTTGTGCATGTTCCGCCAAGATGTGTTACTCTAAAAAAATTTCTTTAAATGCCTAGTTTAGGAAACAAAGAATATTTATGTGTCAAATAATGAGTATTCCTCTATCTGAAAAATAATCAGAAAAACCTGGGATGAATATTCTGCAGGAAATGTAAGAAACAACCTGTTATAGGTTGACTCCTGATACCAAAGCTGAGATATTATTAGGAAAGTCTCCAGGCCCTTTCCCATGTTCCCTTTTGAATATTGTTTATTATCCATATGTTCTTCCTCCTTTGTACATTGTTGACTACTACCTTATTATCCATATTTGATACTTGTTTTAGTTCATAGACCAGGCATCCTAACACTCTTGGAATTTACTGTCTTTCATAGGTCTGGAGACAAGCCATACACGGGAACTTGAGAAGCGTTCAGTAGTAAATGTGGTTAAAAGTATCCTCGGTGGTGTGATTACAGGTTTGATCTTTCTGCATTTCTGGGAAAATGACAGGGCACTGAGATTGGGAACAGTCCCCACTGGCCAATGATTCAAGCAAAATACCTGTTTGGTGAAACCTTAAGAAGAATCCAGAAATGTGGGGCAATAGAGAGCTTCTGGGCTGTTAAAAGAGGGAGGGTGGTGATGTGAGGGTCCTGTGTTCTCTAGGACATGGAGCTCCCCACAACTCCACTTCCACGTTGCCTTGCACATCTACTCATTTTGGTGTTCTTAGAATTATCCTTAATAACAAGGTGTGATCCCTATGTGAGTGGTCTTCCTGAGTTTGGTCATCAGATTAACTAAGTTATTGAACATGGAGGTGGGGTAATGGAACTTCCCAGTTTTAGACACTTTGTCAAATCATGAGTGATGGGCCCACATGGCTGGCATCTGAAGTGAGGACAGTTCTGAGACCTCAACATGCAGAATGTATGTTAACTCCCCCGATTTCCTATCCGAATTAAATTGCATTGTTGCACACCCAGGGGGTGTTTGGGAAATTGGATGTTGTTTCTAGAGACACCATATATTTGGTGTCAAGGAAACCCAGCTCACTCTCCCTTGTGCTTTGGGAGCTCAGGTGAGTGCTGGGCCAGGGGAGTAATGAAAGTGGGACACTGCACCCAGAAACTGTTATCAATTATCAGTATTTTCAGAGTTCCCTTCAGAATAGGAGAGTGTATCAATTGGGTTGTGACAGCGTGTATCTTGTTCAGACCCTGTCACCCTCATGCCATGTGTCCCCCAGGAGGTCATCTATAGTACTCATCTGAACAGCAGATAAGTGCTGCATGACTTCTTGGAACATTTTACGAGTCATAAATATAAACAGCTTATTCAAATATCATGGCCATGTTTGGTCATTTTATACCAGGATATGTTCATGAACGATTTCTCTACCTGTTTACTAGGGGTCGAAAGAAAGAATACTTAGGGGTCAAGTAAGGATTATCCCTCTATTTAAGATTTAATCACACAGACCCTGGATCACTGAGAAGAGGAAATGCTGGGAAAGCATGAAACCCACTCTTTGTGTGGTTGGCTCATGGGACCAAGGCTTGTACAATGTTAGCAAATTCTCCAGGCCTTTTTCTTTGTCCCATTTGAATATCATTTTATTTTTCATATTTGAACGTTGTCCTGGCTCATAGTCCAATATTCCTGAAAATTTTGAAATCTCTCTCTTTCACAGGTACTAAGATTGTCGGAAATGGAGCCAGTATACTAACAGGATTGGCTGAAATAATCAACAAAGCACTTAAAGGTTAGGACTCTGCACCTTTGGGGAGAGAAAAGGGCACTGAGACTGAAATCAGTCACCAATGGCTGATGATTCAACACATATGGCTCTTGACTGAAACTTCATATAAATCCATAAATATTGGCTCGGAGAGCTTATGAGGTGGGAGGAAATGGTTGTGAGGTGATGGTGCTCTACTCAGGAGGGTGTGGACACAGTCCAACACCATTCCTCCTGTGCCGTAAAGATCTCCATTTCACTGTTTCTGAGATTTCTCCTGGACATTAACCTGAGAACAGTGATTAAGAGTTTTCCTGAGTATGGGGGCTGGTTCGATTGAGTTTTTGAGCACAGAGTTGGAGTCATGGAAATTTCAGGTTTAAGTCACTTGGTCAGGAAGATGATAATTTGAGAAGACGTGGTGGGCATCTGAAGTCAAGGCGGTCTTGCTATCCCAAACTGTGTCATTGGCAGTAGCTCCACAGATATGGTATCAGAAATCAGTTGAGAGTGGGCGGCCCACTGGGTGTTGGGAATTGGATGGTTGGTGGAAAAACCACGTATTTCGTGTCAGGAAAAAACCCAGACTCACCCTCTCTTATGATGTGAGGGCTCAGGTGAGGCTTGGGGAGAGGTGAGTAGTGAAAGTAAGACCCAGGACCTGGAAACTCTCCCCAGTATTGTCGAGTTCCTAGCCAACTTATAGTGTATCAAATGGGTTGTGACATGAAAGTATCTTGTCCTGACTGGGCAACCCACACGCTTTTGTCCTGGTGCAAGTCATCAGCAGTTTCCTCGTCTGAACAGGGGAAACATGTTACATGAGTTCTTAGAACAGATGACGAGTTATGAATAGAAAGACTTTATTCACGTGTCATGACCAGATTTGTCCATTTCCTACCACAATGTGTTAATCTGAAAAAAAATTTCTCTACCTACCTGCTGTGGCCAAATAATAATATACCTTTGGCAAATAACGTTTATTACTGTATTATTCTTAAGAATAATCAGAAGATGTTGAGCCATGGATGAGGGCAACTAAGGGAAAGGAAGAAATACAGCCCTTGTAGGGTAGCATGTGGAAGCAAGGCTGATACAAAATACCGAACGTTTTCAGGCCCTTTCCTTTGTTATCTTTTGACTGATATTATCTTATCTATGTTTGTTCCTTTTCTTGTTTCATGGACCAGGTCTCCTGAAACTCTTGAAATTTACTCTGTTTCATAGGTCAGGTGATGATTTCGGGAATACAGTTTGATAACCACACACAAGAGGAACTGGCAACACTCGAGATTGAATACTCAACACTCAGTGAGGAGATGAAAGGTTTGTAGTGTCTGAACCTCCAGGAAGAGGGAAGGGCACTGAGATTCGGATCAATGATCAAAGACCAATGATTCAATCAATAACTACCATTTTTGAAACTTCAACAATCCATAAACATTTCATGGTGAAATGCGCATGTTCTGACAAGATGTATTAATCTAAAAAATTTCTTTACCTACTTACTTTGGGCCATAAAGAATATTTGGGTGTCAAATAATGAATATTCCTCTATCATGAAAAATAATTAGAGCAAGCTGGGATGAATGTTCTGCAGGGAATATAAGAAACAGCCCTGTGTATGTTGACTCCTGATACCAAAACTGAGACATTATAAAAAAAGTCTCTAGGCTCATTCCCACGTTCTCTTTTGACTAATACATATTATCCATATTTGTTCCCTCATTTGTCCACTGTTGATGACTATACTTTTATCCATATGTGATCGCTGTTTTAGTCCATGGACCAGGCCTCCTGGAACTCTTGGATTTACTGTCTTTCCAGGTATGGAGACAAGCCATAAACAGGGCCTTGAGAAGCGCTCAGTACTACCTGTAGTTAAAGGTATCCTCGGCGGTGTGCTTAAAGGTTTGTTCTTCCTGCACCTCTGGGGAGAGGACAGGGCACTGAGTTTGGGAACAGGGCCCACTGGCCCATGATTCAATCAAAACACGTGTTTAGTGAAACCCCAAGAAGAATCCAGAAATGTGGGCATTCAGAGAGCTTCTGGGCTGTTAAAACAGGGAGGGTGGTGATGTGAGGGTTGTGTGTTCTCTAGGACATGGAGCTTCCCACAACTCTACTTCCACATTGCCTTGCACATCTCCTCATTTTGGTGTGCCTAGAATTATACTTAATATTAACGCGAGATCCCTATGTGAGTGGTCTTCCTGAGTTTGGTCATCAGATTAACTGAATTATTGAACATGGAGGTGGGGTAATGGAACTTCCCAGTTTTAGACACTTTGTCAAATCATGAGGAATGGTCGCATTGGCTGGCTCCTGAACTCGACACAATTCTGAGACTTAACATGCAGAATGTATGTTAATTCCCCCGATTTCCACTCCAAATTAAATTGTGTTGTTGCACACCCCATGGGTGTTTGGGTAACTAGATGTTGTTTCTAGAGACACCACATATTTGGTGTCAAGGAAACCCAAATCACTCTCACTTGTGCTTTGGGAGCTCAGGTGAGTGCTGGGCCAGGGAGTAATGAAAGTGGGACACTAAACCCAGAAGCTGTTACCAGTTATGGGTATTTTCAGAGTTCCCTTAAGAACAGGAGAGTGTATCAAGTGGGTTGTGACAGGATGTATCTTGTTCGGACCCTGTCACCCTCATGCCATGTGTCCTCTGGCAAGTCATGTATAGTCCTCATCTAGACAGCAGATAAGTGCTCCATGAGTTCTTTGAACATATTACAAGTCATAAATATAAACATTTATTCACATTTCATGGCCATATTTTGTCATTTTACACCAGTAAATGTTCGTGAAGCATTTCTTTTTTATTTATTTATTTATTTATTTATTTTTTATCACAACCATAGTGTATCTTTTTTTTTTTTACATGTATTCCCCATCCCCGTCCCCCCTCCCACCTCCCTCTCCACCCAATCCCTCTGGGTCTTCCCAGTGCACCAGGCCCGAGCACTTGTCTCATGCACCCAACCTGGGCTGGTGAACTGTTTCACCCTAGATAATATACGTGTTTCAATGCTGTTCTCTTGAAACATCCCACCCTCGCCTTCTCCCAGAGTCCACAAGTCTGTTCTATACATAGGAGTCTCTTTTTCTGTTTTGCACATAGGGTTATCATTACCATCTTTCTAAATTCCATATATATGTGTTAGTATACTGTAATGGTCTTTATCTTTCTGGCTTACTTCGCTCTGTATAATGGGCTCCAGTTTCATCCATCTCATTAGAACTGATTCAAATGAATTCTTTTTAATGGCTGAGTAATATTCCATGGTGTATATGTACCACAGCTTCCTCATCCATTCGTCTGCTGATGGGCATCTAGGTTGCTTCCATGTCCTGGCTATTATAAACAGTGCTGCGATGAACACTGGGGTACACGTGTCTCTTTCAGATCTGGTTTCCTCGGTGTGTATGCCCAGAAGTGGGATTGCTGGGTCATATGGCAGTTCTATTTCCAGCTTTTTAAGAAATCTCCACACTGTTTTCCATAGTGGCTGTACTAATTTGCATTCCCACCAACAGTGTAAGAGGGTTCCCTTTTCTCCACACCCTCTCCAGCATTTATTGCTTGTAGACTTTTGGATAGCAGCCATCCTGACTGGTGTGTAATGGTAACTCATTGTGGTTTTGATTTGCATTTCTCTGATAATGAGTGATGTTGAGCATCTTTTCATGTGTTTGTTAGCCATCTGTATGTCTTCCTTGGAGAAATGTGTGTTCAGTTCTTTGGCCCATTTTTTGATTGGGTCATTTATTTTTCTGGAGTTGAGCTGGAGGAGTTGCTTGTATATTTTTGAGATTAATCCTTTGTCTGTTGCTTCGTTTGCTATTATTTTCTCCCAATCTGAGGGCTGTCTTTTCACCTTGCTTATAGTTTCCTTTGTTGTGCAAAAGCTTTTAAGTTTCATTAGGTCCCATTTGTTTATTTTTGCTTTTATTTCTAAAATTCTGGGATGTGGGTCATAGAGGATCCTGCTGTGATTTATGTCGGAGAGTGTTTTGCCTATGTTCTCCTCTAGGAGTCGTGAAGCATTTCTGTACCTACTTAATTGGGGACAGAAAGAATGAATACTTTTTGGGACAAGTAATGATTATCCCTCTGTTTAGAAATGAATTACACAGACCTGGAGCCCTGAGAAAAGCAACTTCCAGGAAAGCATGAAACCCAGGCCTTGTGTGATTGGTTCATGGGACCAAGGCTTGTACAATATTAGAAAATTCCACAGTCCTTTCCTTTGTCTTTCTTTGCCTATCATTTTATTTTTCATATTTGAACATTGTCTTGGTTCATGGTCCAATATTCCTGACATTCCTGAAATGTTTGTCTTTCATAGGTACCAAGATTTTCGCAAAGGGAGCCAGCATACTAACAGGATTGGCTGAAATAGTCAAGAAAGCACTTAAAGGTTAGGACTTTCTGCACCTCTGGGGTGAGAGGAGGGCACTGAGACTGAGGTCAGTCACCACTGGCTGATGATTCAATACATATGACTCTTGAGTGAAACCTCAATAAAAATCCATAAATATTGGCTCAGAAAGCTTATAAGGTGGTGCTAAATGGCCATGAGTTGAGGGTGCTGTGCTCACGAGGGCATGGAGTCTTCATCCAACTCCACTACAGCCATGTCCTAAAAATCTCCTCCATTTCACTGTTTCTGAGTTTTTTTCTGTACGTTATGCTGAGAACAGTGATTAAGAGTTTTCCTGAGTTTGTTCGCTGGTTTGATTGACTTTTTGAGCATGGAGGTAGAGTGGAAATTTCAAGTTTTAGTCACTTGTTCAAAAACATGATACCTGAGAACACGTGGCTGGCATCTGAACTGGGCAGTCTTGATACCTCAACCTGTGGCATCAGCACTAACTCCACAGATATGGTCTCAAAGGTCAATGGGACACTGGGTGTCCCGTTGGGCCATTGGGAATTGGATGGTTGTTGGAAAAATCACATATTTGGTGTGAAGAAAAAACCCAGACTCACCCTGCCCTGTGATTTGATGGCTCAGGTGAGGCATGGGGAGAGGTGAGTAGTGAAAGTAAGTCCCTGGACCTGGAAACTCTACCCAGTTTTCTGTATTGTCGAGTTGCTAGCCAATCAATAGTGTATTAAATGGGTTGTGACATTATCGTATGTTGTCTTGACCAGGCAACCCACTTGCTTATTCCTGTCCAAGTCTTCAGCAGTTTCCTTATCTGAACAGGGGAAACCTGTTACATGAGTTCTTAGAACAGATGACCAGTTATGAAAGGAAAGAGTTTATTCGTGTGTCACGACCTGATTTGTCCATTTTACAACACAATGCCTTAAGCTGGAAAAAAAAAAAATCTCTACCTACTTTCTTTGGCCAAGTAAAAATTTTCTTTATCTAATAGTGTTTATTCCTGTATTATTAAGAGTAATCAAAAGTTCCGAGCCACGAGGGGAGCAGCTGCAGGGAAAGCAAGAAACACACCCCTTGTGGGGTAGCCTGTGGGAGCAAGCCTGGTCCAATATCAGGAAAGTCTCCAGGCCCTTTTCCTTATTGTCTTTTGACTGGTATTATCTTATTCATGTTTGTTCCTTTTCTTGTTGCATGGACCAGGTCTCCTAAAACTCTAAATTTACTCTCTTTCATAGGTCAGGTGATGATTTCCGGGATACAATTCGATAACCACATGCCAGAGGAATTGCCAACACTCCAGATTGAATACTCAAAACTCAGTGAGGAGAATGAAGGTTGGTATTTTTGGCACCTCGGGGAAGAGGGAAGGCCCCTGAGATTCAGATCAATGACCAATAATCAATGATTCAATCAATAAGCCTGTTTGTTGAAACCTCAACAGTGCATAAATATTTCATGGTGAATTTAGTGCATGTTCCGCCAATATGTATTCATCTAAAAAATTTCTTTACGTAGTTACATTGGGGCACAAGGAATATTCAGGTGTCAAATAATGAGTATTCCTCTATTATGAAAAATAATTAGAACAAGCTGGGATGAAGCTCTGCAGGGAATGTAAGAAACAGCCCTGTGTAGGTTGCCTCCTGATACCAAAGCTGTGACATTATTAGGAAAGTCTCCAGGCCCTTTCCCATATTCCCTTTTCACTATTGTGTGTTATCCATTGTTGTTCCCTCATTTGTCCACTGTTGACGAAGATTTTATTATCCATATTTGATCGTTGTTTTAGTTCATGGCCAGGCCTCCTGAAACTCTTGGAATTTACTGTCTTTCCTAGGTGTGGAGACAAGCCATAAACAGGGCCTTGAGAAGCGCTCAGTAAAAAATGTGATTAAAAGTGTCCTCGGTGGTGTGATTAAAGGTTTGTTCTTCCTGCACCTCTGGGGAGAGGACAGGGCACTGAGTTTGGGAACAGTGCCCACTGGCCCGTGATTCAATCAAAACACGTGTTTAGTGAAACCTCAAGAAGAATCCAGAAATGTGGGGTTTCAGAGAGCTTCTGGGCTGTTAAAACAGGGAGGGTGGTGATGTGAGGGTTGTGTGTTCTCTAGGACATGGAGGCTCCCCACAACTCCACTTCCATGTTGCCTTGCACATCCACTCATTTGGGTGTGCCTAGAATTATCCTTAATAACAAGGTGCGATCCCTATGTGAGTGGTCTTCCTGAGTTTGGTCATCAGATTAACTGAGCTATTGAACATGGAGGTGGGGTAATGGAACTTCCCAGTTTTAGACACTTTGTCAAATCATGAGGCATGGGCGCACATGGCTGGCATCTGAAGTGAGGACAGTTCTGAGACCTCAACATGCAGAATGTATATTCACTCCCCTGATTTCCTCTCCAAATTAAATTGCCTTGTGGCACACCCAGGGGGTATTTGGGGAATTGGATGTTGTTCTAGAGACACCATATATTTGGTGTCAAGGAAACCAAGTCACTCTCCCCTGTGCTTTGGGAGCTCAGGTGAGTGCTGGGCCAGGGAGTAATGAAAGTGGGACACTGCACTCAGAAGCCATTACCAAATATCGGTATTATCAGAGTTCCCTTCAGAATAGGAGAGTGTATCAGTGGGTTGTGACAGCGTGTATCTTGTTTGGACCCTGTCACCCTCATGCCATGTGTCCTCTGGCAAGTCATCCACCGTCCTCACCTGAACAGCAGATAAGTGCTGCATGAGTTCTTGGACCATGATACCAGTCATAAATATAAACAGCTTATTCACATGTCATGGCCATGTTTGGTCATTTTACACCAGGAAATGTTCATGAAAGATTTCTGTACCTACTTACTTGGGGCCAGAAGCAAGAATATTTATGGCTCAAATGATGATTATCCCTCTGTTTAAAAAATTAATCACAGAGACCTAGAACACTGAGAGGAGCAGCTACTGGGAAAGCATGAAACCCAGGCCTTGTGTGGTTGGTTCATGGGACCAAGGATTTTACAATATTAGAAAATTCTGCTAGCCTTTCCTTTTCTCACTTTTCCCTATCATTTAATTTTTCATATGTGAACATTTCATATGTGAACATTGTCCTGGTACAATATTCCTGAAATTTTTGAAATTTTTGTCTTTCATAGGTTCCAAGATTGCCGGAAAGGGAGCCACTATACTAGGAGGACTGGCTAAAATACTCAACAAAACACTTAAAGGTTAGGACTTTCTGCACCCCTGGAGAGAGAGGAGGGCACTGAGACTGAGATCAGTCACCAGTGGCTGACAATTGAATACATATTGAACTCTTAGTGAAACCTCAATAAAACTCAATATATATTGGCTCATAAAACTTATGAGGGGGGAAGAAACGGTTGTGAGTTGAAGGTACTCTGCTCAGAAAGGCATGGAGGCTCCGTCCACTCCATGCCTCCCGTGCACTAAAGATCTCCTCATATTCATTGTTCCTGAGATTTTTCCTGTAATGTACACTGAGAGCAGTGATTAAGAGTTTTCCTGAGTTTGGTCACTGGTTCGATTGAGTTTTTGAGCATGGAGGTGGAGTCATGGAAATTTCAAGTTTCAGTCACTTGGTCAGAAACTTGATAACTCAAGAGGACATGGCTAGCATCTGAAGTCAGGGATGTCTCCTACCTCAACCTGTGGCATTGGCCCGAACTCCACAGATAGTATCAGAAGTCAGTGGACTTTGGGTGGCATATTGGGAGTTGGGACTTGGATGGTTGTTGGTAAACCACGTATTCGCTGTTAGGAAAAATCCCAGGGTCACCCACCACTGTAATGTGATGGCTCAGGTTAGTCTTGAGGAAAGTAAGACTCTGGACCTGGACACTCTCACCATTTCTCAGAATTGTCGAGTTCCTAGCCAAGCAATAGTGTATCAAATGCATTGTGACGTGACAGTATCGTGTCCTGACCAAGCCACCCGAATGTGTGTGCTGGTGCAAGTCATCTGCAGTTTTCTCATCTGAACAGGAAAACATGTTGCATGAGTTCTTAGAACAGATGAGGCATTATGAATAGAAACAGTTTATTCATGTGTCACGACCAGATTTGTCCACTTCCCACCACAATGTGTTAATCTGAAAAAATATTCTCTACCTACTTGCTGTGGCCAAGTAAAAATATTTCTTCTTGGAAAAGGTTATTTATGTATTATTTAAAGTAATGAAAAGATGTATAGCCAAGGAAGAGGGCAGCTGCAGGGAAAGAAAGAAACACAGCCCTTGTAGGGTAGTCTGTGAGAACAAGGCTTTACAATATAATAGAAGTCTCCAGGCCCTTTCCCTTGTTGTCTTTTGACTGGTATTGTCTTATCCATGGATGATCCTTTTCCTGTTTCACATACCAGGTTTCCTGAAACTCTTGAAATTTACTCTGTTTCACAGATGAGGTGATGATTTCAAGCATACAATTCAATAACTATACAGAAGAGGAAGTGCCAACACTCGAGATTGAATACTCACCACTGACTGAGGAGACTAAAGGTTTGTAGTTTCTGCCCCTCGGGGAAGAGGGACAGGTACTGAGATTCAGATCAATGACCAATGATTCAATCAATACGCCTGTTTCTTGAAACCCCAACAGTGCAGAAATATTTCATGTTGAATTTTGTGCATATTCCCCCAAGATGTATTCACCTCAAAAGATTTCTTTACCTACTTACTTTGGGCCACAAAGAATCTTTGGGTGTTAAATAATGAGTATTCCTCTATTATGAAAAATAATTACAGCAAGCTGGGATGAATGTTCTGCAGGGAATATAAGAAAAAGCCCTGTGTATGTTGACTCCTGATACCAAAACTGAGGCATTATTAGGAAAGTCTTCAGGCCCCTTCCCACGTTCTCTTTTGACTATTGCGTATTATCCATTTTGTTCCCTCATTTGTCCACTGTTGATGACTATACTTTTATCCATATGTGATCGTTGTTTTAGTCCATGGACCAGGCCTCCTGGAACTCTTGGAATTTACTGTCTTTCCTAGGTGTGGAGACAAGCCATAAACATGGCCTTGAGAAGCGCTCAGTACTACCTGTGGTTAAAGGCATCCTCGGCGGTGTGCTTAAAGGTTTGTTCTTCCTGCACCTCTGGGGAGAGGACAGGGCACTGAGATTGGGAACAGTGCCCACTGGCCTGTGATTCAATCAAAACACGTGTTTAGTGAAACCTCAAGAAGAATCCAGAAATGTGGGCTTTCAGAGAGCTTCTGGGCTGTTAAAACAGGGAGGGTGGTGATGTGAGGTTCCTCTGTTCTCTAGGATATGGAGGTTCCCCACAACTCCACTTCCACATTGCCTTGCACATCTCCTCATTTTGGTGTGCCTAGAATTATCCTTAATAACTAGGTGTGATTCCTATGTGAGTGGTCTTCCTGAGTTTGGTCATCAGATTAACTGAGTTATTGAACATGGAGGTGGGGTAATGGAACTTCCCAGTTTTAGACACTTTGTCAAATCATGAGGAATAGGCACACATGGCTGGCTTCTGACTCAGGACAATTCTGAGACTCAAAATGCAGAATGTATGTTAACTCCCCCAATTTCAGCTCCGAATTAAATTGCCGTGTGGCAAACCCTGTGGGTGTTTGGGTATCTGGATGTTGTTTCTAGAGACACCACATATTTGGTGTCGAGGAAACCCAACTCACTCTCCCTTGTGCTTTGGGAGCTCAGGTGAGTGCTGGGCCAGGGGACTAGTGAAAGTGGGACACTGCACCCAGAAGCTGTTACCAGTTATCAGTATTTTCAGAGTTCCAGGCAGAATAGGGTAGTATATCAAGTGGGCAGTGACTTTTTTGAACCTTGTCACCCTCATGCAGTGTGCCCTCCAGCAAGTTAAATATAGTCCTCAGCTGAACAGCAGATAATTGTTGCATGAGTTTTTGAATATACTATGAGTCATCAATATAAATAGCTTATTCACATTTCATTGCCATGTTTGATCATTTTACAGCAGTAAATGTTCATGAAATAATTCTGTAGCTACTTACTTGGGGCCATAAAGAACAAATATTTATGGGACAAGTAATGATTATTCCTGTATTTAAAAATGAATCACCCAGACCTGGAGCACTGAGAAGAGCAACTGCCGGGAAAGCATGAAACACAGGCCTTGTGCGGTTGGTTCATGGGAGCAAGGCTTGTACAACATTAGAAAATTCTCCATGCCTTTCCTCTGTCTTACCTTTTCCTATCGTTTTATTTTTCATACGTGAACATTGTCCTGGTTCATGGAACAATATTCCTGAAATGTTTGTCTTTCATAGGTGCCAAGATTTTCGCAAAGGGAGCCAGCATACTAACAGGATTGGCTGAAATAGTCAAGAAAGCACTTAAAGGTTAGGACTTTCTGCACCTCTGGGGTGAGAAGAGGGCACTGAGACTGAGGTCTGTCACCACTGGCTGATGATTCAATACATACGACTCTTGAGTGAAACCTCATTAAAAATCCATAAATATTGGCTCAGAGAGCTTATAAAGAGGGGCTAAACGGTGATGAGTTGAGGGTGCTGTGCTCAGAAGGGCAAGTAGGCTGCATCCAACTCCACTACACCCAGCCCTAAAGATCTCCTCCATTTCACTGTTTCTGAGTTTTTTCCTGTACGTTACTCTGAGAACAGTGATTAAGAGTTCTCCTGAGTTTGTTCACTGGTGTGATTGAGTTTTTGAGCATGGAGGTAGAGTGGAAATTTCAAGTTTTAGTCACTTGTTCAGAAACATAATAACCTGAGAACATGTGGCTGGCACCTGAAGTCTGGGGAGTCTCGATGTCTCAACCTGTGGCATCAGCACTAACTCCACATGTGTGGTCTCAGAGATCAATGGACACTGGGCGCCCTTTGGGTGTGGGGAAATGGATTGTTGTTGGAAAAACCACATACTTGGTGTCAGGAAAAAACCCAGGCTCACCCTGCCCTGTGGTTTGATGGCTCAGGTGAGGCTTGGGAGAGGTGAGTAGTGAAAGTCAGCCCCTGGACCTGGAAACTCTCAGTAGTTCTCTGTAATGTTGAGTTTCCAGCCAATGAATAGTGTATCAAATGGGTTGTGACATCATTGTATATTGTCTTGACCAGGTAACCCACTTTCTTACTCCTGGGCAAGTCATCAGCAGTGTCCTCACCTGAACAGGGGAAATATGCTACATGAGCTCTTAGTACAGATGACCAGTTACGAAAGGAAAGTGTTTATTCATGTGTCACAACCTGAATTGCTCATTTTACAAAACAATGCCTTTAGCTGAAAGAAAAAAAATTCTCTACCTACTTTCTGTTGCCAAGTATAAATATTTCTTTATCAAATAATGTTTATTCCTGTATTATTAAGAGTAATCAAAAGATCCGAGTCACAAGGGTAGCAGCTGCAGGGAAAGCAAGAAACACAGCCCTTGTGGGGTCGCCTGTGGGAGCAAGGCTGGTACAATATAAGGAAAGTCTCCAGGCCCCTTCCCTGGCTGTCTTTTGACTGGTATTATCTTATTCATGTTTGTTCCTTTTCTTGTTTTACGGACCAGGTCTCCTAAAACTCTAAATTTACTCTCTTTCATAGGTCAGGTGATGATTTCCGGGATACAATTCGATAACCACACGCCAGAGGAACTGCCAACACTCCAGATTGAATACTCAACACTCAGTGAGGAGAATGAAGGTTGGTATTTTCGGCACCTGAGGGAAGAGGGGAGGGCACTGAGATTCAGATGAATGACCAAAGACCAATGATTCTATCAATAAGCCTGTTTGTTGAAACCTCAACTGTGGGGAATATTTCATGGTGAATTTAGTACATGTTCCACCAGTATGTATTCATCTAAAAAATTTCTTTACGTAGTTACTTTGGGCCACAAAGAATATTTAAGTGTCAAATAATGAGTATTCCTCTATCATGAAAAACAATTAGAACATACTGAGATGAATACTCTGCAGGGAATGTAAGAAACAGCCCTGTGTAGGTTGCCTCCTGATACCAAAGCTGAGACATTATTAGGAAAGTCTTCAGGCTCTTCTCTACATTTTCTTTTGACTATTCCATATTATCCATATTTTTTTCCCTCGTTTGTCCATTTTTGACGACTACTTTGTTATCCATATGTGATCGTTGTTTTAGTCCATGGACCAGGCCTCCTGGAACTCTTGGAATTTACTGTCTTTCCTAGGTGTGGAGACAAGCCATAAACATGGCCTTGAGAAGCGCTCAGTACTACCTGTGGTTAAAGGCATCCTCGGCGGTGTGCTTAAAGGTTTGTTCTTCCTGCACCTCTGGGGAGAGGACAGGACACTGAGACTGGGAACAGGGCCCACTGGCCCCTGATTCAATCAAAACATGTGTTTAGTGAAACCTCAAGGAGAATCCAGAAATGTGGGCATTCAGAGAGCTTCTGGGCTGTTAAAACAGGGAGGGTGGTGATGTGAGGGTCGTGTGTTATCTAGGACATGGCTGTTCCCCAGGACATGGCTGTTCCCCACAACTGCACTTCCATATTGCCTTGCACATCTACTCATTTTGGTGTGCCTAGAATCATCCTTAGTAGTAAGGTGTGATCCCTATGTGAGTGGACTTCCTGAGTTTGGTCATCAGATTAACTGAGTTATTGAACATGGAGGTGGGGTAATGGAACTTCCCAGTTTTAGACACTTTGTCAAATCATGAGGGATGGGTGCACATGGCTGGCATCTGAAATGAGGACAGTTCTGAGACCTCAACCTGCAGAATGCATGTTCACTCCCCTGATTTCCTCCCTGAATTAAATTGCCTTGTTGCATACCCAGTGGGTGTTTGGGGAATTGGATATTGTTTCTAGAGACTCCACATTTGGTGTCAAGGAAACCCAAGTCACTCTCCCTTGTGCTTCGGGAGCTTGGATGCATGCTGGGCCAGGGAGTAATGAAAGTGGGACATGGCACCCAGAAGCTATTACCTGTTCTCAGTATTTTCAGTGTTCCTGGCAGAGTAGGATAGTATATCAAGTGGGTTGTGACACTGAAGTATCTTGTTCCAACCCTGGCTCCTTCATGCCATGTATCCTCTTGCAAGTCATCTATAGTCCTCATCTGAACAGCAGATAAGTGTTGCATGAGTTCTTTGATCATATTACGAGTCATATATATAAAGAGTGTTCACATTTCACAGCCATTCTTAGTCATTTTTACACCAGGATATGTTCATGAAAGATTTCTGTACCTACCTACTTGGGGCCAGAAAAAAAGAATATTTATTGTCAAATAATGATTATCCGTCTATTTAAAAATTAGTCACACAGACCTGGACCACTGAGAAAGGCAACTGCAGAGAAAGCATGAAACCCAGGACTTGTGTGGTTGGTTCATGGGACCAAGGCTTGTACAATATTAGAAAATTCCACAGTCCTTTCCTTTGTCTTTCTTTGCCTATCATTTTATTTTTCATATTTGAACATTGTCCTGGTTCATGGTCCAATATTCCTGACATTTTTGAAATGTTTGTCTTTCACAGGTACCAAGATTTTTGCAAAGGGAGCCAGCATACTAACAGGATTGGCTGAAATAGTCGAGAAAGCACTTAAAGGTTAAGACTTTCTGCACCCTTGGGGAGAGAGGAGGGCACTGAGACTGAGATCAGTCACCACTGGCTGACGATTGAATGCATATGACTCTTGAGTGAAACCTCAGTAAAAATCCTTATATCAATATTAGTTCAGAGACTTTATGAGGTGGGAAGAAACGGTGATGAGGTGAGGGTGTCTGCTCAGGAGGGCATGGAGACTCTGTCCATCTCCACTCCTGCTGTGCCCTAAAGATCTCCTCCATTTCAGTGTTTCTGAGTGTTTCTCTGTACTACGTTAATCTGAGAACAGTTTAATAAGGGTTTCCTGAGTTTGGTCACTGGTTCGATTGACTTTTTGAGCATGGAGGTGGAATCATGGAAATTTCAAGTTTGAGTCACTTGGTTAGAAGCATGATACCTCGAGAACACATGGCTAGCATCTATAGTCAGGGCAGCCTTGATACCTCAACCTGTGGCATCGGCCCTGACTCCACAGATACTGTATCAAAAATCACTGGACAGCAGGTGGCCCGTTGGGTGTTTCAAATTGGATGTTTGGTGGAGAAACCATGTATTTGGTGTCAGGAGAAATAGACTCACCCAGACTCACCCTCCCCTGTGATTTGAGGGCTCAGCTGAGTCTTGGGGCGAGGTGCGTAGTGATAGTAAGACCCTGGACCTGGAAACTCTCACCAGTCCTCTGTATTGTCGAGTTCCTAACCAATCTATCGTGTATCAAATTAGTTGTGACATGACAGTATGTTGTCCTGACCTGGCCACCCACATGCTTCTGTCCTGACCAAGTCATCTGCCGTTTCCTCATCTGAACAAGGGAAATATTAGTTTTGGAACAGGGTTCCAAAAGAGTGGAACAGGGTTACATTAGTCCTTAGAATAGATGATGAGTTACAAATAAAAAGACTGTATTCATGTGTCAAGAACAGATTTGTCCATTTTCCAACACAATGTGTAATTGTGAAAAAAGATTCTGTACCTGCATGCTTTGGCCAGGGAAAATATTTCTTTATCAAATAGTGTTCATTCCTGTATTATTAAGAGTAATCAAAAGATGCTGAGCCATGTAGGAGGGCAACTGCAGGGAAAGCAAGAAGTTCAGCCCTCATGGGGTAGACTGTGGGAGCAAGGCTGATACAACATAATGAAAGTGACCAGGCCCTTTCCCTTGTTGTCTTTTGACTGTTACTATCTCATCCATGTTTGATCCTTTTCTTATTTCCATCATCAAGTCCTCCTGAAACTCTTGAAATTTACCCTCTTTCATAGGTCAGGTGATGATTTCCGGAATACAATTCGATAACCACACACAAGAGGAATTGCCGACACTCCAGATTGAATACTCAACACTCAGTGAGGAGAATAAAGGTTTGTATTTTCTGCACCTTGGGGAAGAGCGAAGGGCAGTGAGATTGAGATCAATGACTAATGACCAATGATTCAATCAATACATCTGTATCTTGAGACCTCAACATTGCATAAATGTTTCATGGTGAGTTTTGTGCATGTTCCACCAGGATGTATAAATCTCAAGAAATTTCTTTACCTTCTTACTTTGGGCAAGAATAAATATTTAGATGTCAAATAAGGAGTATCCTGCTATCATGAAAAGAAATTAGAAAAACTTGGTATGAGTGTTCTGCAGGGAATTTGTAAAACAGTCCTCTGTAGGTTGACTCCTGATACTAAAGCTGAGAAATTATTAGGAAAGTCTCCAGTCCCTTTCCCATGTCCCGTTTTGAATATTGTTTATTATCCATATTTGTTCCCTCCTTTGTCCACTCTTCACTACCATTTTATTAGGCATAGTCGATCCTTGTTTTAGTTCAGACCAGGCCTCCTGAAATCTGGAATTTTCTTTTTTTCATAGGTGTGGAGACAAGCCATAAACGGGTACTTGAGAAGCGTTCAGTAGTACATGTGGTCAAAAGTATCCTCGGCGGTGTGATTAAAGGTTTGATCTTCTTGTATTTTTGGGGAGAGGAGAGGGCCCTGATTTTTGGAACCAGTAACCACTGGCCAATGATTCAATCAAAATACCTGTTTAATGAAACCTGAAGAAGAATCCATAAAAGTTGGCATTAAGAAAGCTTTTGGGCTGTTAAATTAGCGAGGTTGTTGATATGAGGGTTCTGTGTTCTCTAGGACGTGGAGCCTCCCCACAACTCCACTTCCACTTTGCCTTGCACATCTGTTCATTTTGGTGTGTCTAGATTTATCCTTAATATTATTGTGAGATCCACATTTGAGTTGTCTTCCTGAGTTTGGTCATCAGTTTAATTGAGTTATTGAACATGGAGGTGAGGTAATGGAACTTCCCAGTTTTATACACTTTGTCAAATCATGAGCGATGTGCCCACATGGTTGATATCTGAAGTGAGGACAGTTCTGAGACCTCAACATGCAGAATGTATATTCACTCCCCCGATTTCCTCTCCAAATTAAATTGCCTTGTGGCACACCCAGTGGGTGTTTGGGGAATTGGATGTTGTTTCAAGAGACACCGCATATTTGGTGTCAAGGAAACCCAAGTCACTCTCCCTTGTGCTTTGGGAGCTCAGGTGAGTGCTGGGCCAGGGGAGTAATGAAAGTGGGACACTGCACCCAGAAGCCATTACCAGTTATCAGTATTTTCAGAGTTCCCTTCAGAATAGCAGAGTGTATCAGTGGGTGTGACAGCGTGTATCTTGCTCAGACCCTTTCATCCTCATGCCATGTGTCCTCTGGCAAGTCATCTATAGTCCTCATCTGAACAGCAGATAAGCGCTACATGAGTCCTTTGAATATGAAGTGAAGTTTCTTCAGTCGTGTCCGACTCTTTGCCACCCATGGACTATAGCCTGCCAGGTTCCTCTGTCCATGGGATTTTCCAGGCAAGAATCCTGGAGTGGGTTGCCATTTCCTTCTCCACTGAACATATTATCAGTCATAAATATAAGCAGTTTATTCACATTTCATGGCCATGTTTGGTCATTTTCCACAGGATATATTCATGAAATATTTCTCTACCTACTTACTTGGGGCCAGAAAGAAAGAATATTTATGGGTCAAATAATGATTATCCCTTTATTTAAAAATTAATCACACAAACCCTGACCACTCAGAAATGGAACTGCTGGGAAAGGATGCAAACAAGCCCTTGGCTCATGGGACCAAGCCTTGAATAATATTAGCAAATTTTCCAGGCCTTTTCCTTTGTCCACTTTTTCCTATCATTTTATTTTTCATATTTGAATGTTGTCCTGGTTTATGGTCCAACAGTCGTGAAAATTTTGAAATGTTTGTTTTTCTTAGGTACCAAGATTTTCGGAAAGGGAGCCAGTATACTAACAGGATTGGCTGAAATAGTCAACAAAGCCCTTAAAGGTTGGAACTTTCTGCACCTATGGGGAGAGAGGAGGGCACTGAGACTGAGATCAGTCACCACTGGCTGACAATTCAATACATATGCCTATTGAGTGAAACCTCAATAAAAATCCATAAATATTGGCTCAGAGAGCTCATGAGGTGGGAAGAAACAGTCATGAGGCGAGGGTGCTCTGCTCAGGAAGGCATGGAGGCTCTGTCCATCTCCACTTCTCCCATGTATGAAAGATCTCCTCCATTTCATGGTTTCTGAGTTTTTTCCTGTATGTTAATATGAGAATAGTGATTAAGAGTTTTCTGAATTTGGTCGCTGGTTCGATCGAGTTTTTGAGCATGGAGGTGGAGTCATGGAAATTCCAAGTTTCAGTCACTTGGTCAGAAACATGATAACTCGAGAACACAAGGCTGGCATCTGAGGTCAGTGCAGTCTTGATACCTCAACCTATGCCTTCGGCCCTGACTCCACAGATATGATATCAGAAGTCAATGGACAGTGGGAGGCCTGTTGGGTGCTGGGAATTGGATGGTTGGTGGAAAAACCACGTATTTTTTGTCAGGAAAAATAGACTCACCCAGGCTCACCCTCCCCTGTGATGTGAGGGCTCTGTTGAGGCTTGGGGAGAGGTGAGTAGTGAAAGTAAGCCCTTGGACCTGGAAACGCTCACCCGTTATTTATGTTGTCAAGTTCCTAGCCAATCAATAGTGTATCAAATGTGATGTGACATGACAGTATCTTGTCCTGACCAGGCCGCCCACATGCTTGTGTCCTGGGCAAGTTATCAGCAGTTTCCTCATCTCAACAGGGGAAACATGTTACATGAGTTCTTAGAATAGATTACGAGTTATGAATAGAAACAGTTTATCCATGTGTCACGACCAGATTTGTCCACTCACAACCACAATGTGCTAATCTGAAAAAATATTCTCTACCTACTTGCTGTGGCCAAGTAAAAATATTTCTCTATCAAATAATGTTTATTCCTGTGTTGTTAAGAGTGATCAAAAGATGTCAAACCATGGGGGAGGGCAATTGCAGGGAAAGCAAGAAGCACAGCCCTTGTGGGGTAGCCTGTGGGAGCAAGGCTGATACAATATAATGGGAGTCTCCAGGCCGTTTCCCTTGTTGTCTTTTGACTGTTGTTATCTTACCCATGTTTGATCCTTTTCCTGTTTCATGGACCAGGCCTCCTGAAACTCTTGAAATTTACACTCCTTCATAGGTCAGGTGATGATTTCCGGAATACAGTTTGATAACCATACGCAAGAGGAATTTCCTACGCTCACTATGGAATACTCAACACTCAGTGAGGAGATGAAAGGTTTGTAGTGTCTGCTCCTTGGGGAAGAGGGAAGGGCACTGAGGTTCAGATCAATGACCAATGATTCAATCAGTAAGACTATTTATTGAAACCTGAACAGGGCATAAATATTTGGGTTCAGAGTTTGCTGGGTGGTCAATACCATTGTGAGGGTGCTGTGTTCCCTGGGGAATGGAGGCTCCACACACCTTCACTGCCCCTTTTCCCTACTCCTCTCCTCCATTTCACTGTGAACGTTTCATGTATCTTCATCTGGGAACAGTAAGTAAGTGTTGTCCAAAGTTTGGTCATCATTAACACTCAGTTATTGAACATGGAGTTGGGATCATGGACCTCTCCATTTTAACCATTTGGTCACAAGCAAAACTAAGTGTGGACCACGTTGCTTGCACTAAAGTGAGGACAGTCTTGGGTGCTCAGCCTGTGGGATCTGCAGTAACTGCATAGATTTCATACCAGACATCAATTGACTGGGGGACACCCAGTGGGTGTTTGGAGAATGGCTTAATGTTGGTAGAGACACCATATATTTGTGATAGGATAAACCCAGGCTCAGTCTGCCCTTTGATTTGGGGGGCTTGGTTACCGTATATACAAGGAAGTAATAAAAGTAGGTCACTAGCTCCAGAAACTCTTACAAGTAAACTGTGTTCCCTGAATTCCTGGTAGAATCATATATTATATCTGATGAGTTGTGTGACACCATAGCAACTTGCCCTGACTCTACCATCCACATGCTCTGTTTCATGGGGACAGTTATCTGCAATTTCCTCACCTGAAGAGGGGAAATATGTTACATACAGCCTTTGAACAGAGTTCCAGTCATGAGTATAAAGAATTTATGCCCTGCCGCCTTAGTGTCTACAGCATTTGAAAGTTGAGTTTCCTGACCAGGAATTGAACCTAGGACTACTTAATTGGAATACAGATTCCTAACCACTGGACCACCTCAGAAGTCTTATAGATGTTCTTCAGCTTATCAGAGGCATTATACCTATCTTTCTTAAAAGACTTAATGAGGAGATATACATTTGTACATGATTACTATATCATGCCATCCCTAGCAACATTCATATTCTGCCCCAGAAGGGGTGTTTTCACATGGGCATTTCAATTTGACCACACTCCACAACCCTAACATTCTCTCTTGCAAACAAACCGGTGGTTCTAGTTGTTGTCCTCGTACGGAGCAGTGATGACCATCCTCATAATCGTGCCATTGTCCCTCTAGTTTCACCAACTTCTATGCCTGCTTTCTGCATGGAGCCTAAATTTGTGGGTGTCTGCAAGGCCACGATGGTCAGGTACTTCTTCAATACCCAGACCGGGTACTGTGAGCTGTTTTTATATGGCGGTTGTGGAGGAAACAGAAACAACTTCCTAACATTGGAGGACTGCAGGCAGACCTGCCATCCAAACGCATAGTCCCCGTGGTAAGACAGGGGGCAGGGCACAGGAGGAGGGGAAGGGCTGAGGAAAGAGGCGGAGCTCGGGGGGCCACACGCCATTCACCCTGCACAGTGTCCTCCCCCTCGCTGCTGCCAGGAGGAGAGGCTGCAGTGTCCTGTGAAACCAGGGAGAGAATGGCAGAAGGTCAACCCCTGATGCCTCTTTGTGGTCATCTGAGCCTGATCACATGCTCCTCTTTCTTAGATGGGAACATTGATTCAGCCACCCTCCAGGGCAGGTCTGCAGTGCTCCTGAGCACCACACCTAGGCTTAGAAAACTCACTTCCTTCTTTGTGATTTGGGAATGTGGTTCCATATTTTTTTGAAAATACAGGATCTATTAAGTTGACCAGTGTCCAGGTCTGGGGCTACACTGATGGCACTCAACCAGTTCCTTTCTTTTTGCAGAGGACACGCGAAGAGTAGTCCCTGAAACTCTGATGTCCGAGGAGGACTCCTGCAGGGCTGGGCTGTGTCTACATCTGAACGTCTTCAGTCTCCTCACAGTCCTTCTCTCCCTGCCCTCCTCAGCAGAGTGTGCCTATTTCCTTTCCTCTGTTGGTCAACATGTCTAATTCTCTTCTATCCAGGTGGCTCTCATCACCATGAGAGCATGTCTTCCGTTTACCCCTAGCACTTCACACAGTTCCTAGCACCAATGAGGCTGTTTATAATTATTTGAGTAAGGAAGGAGTAAGGTAGGAGCACATTCCTCAGGACCACATTAACTCAGAGCCTGCAGTGTAACACAGGATTTTTGTTTTCATCCCCATCCTCACGGCATCCTCACCTTCATCCCTGTCCCCACCATCACTGCTCTCCTTGTGGGTGTCCAAGGTGGTATTTCCAGCATCCAGTTCGGAGCATCAGTCATGAGAGAAGAGTTTCATTTAAAAATGTTTCTTGACCGTACAATGATTTGCAATTTTCATTTCTGTAGCCTCAAGCCCTATGGGTTATATTTCAATAAATGCACATTCAAAATTAAACTGACTAGAGTGGAGTCTGTTGTTTGTAATTACAAACCTCAACCAATAGAGTCCATGGAAATGGTGGTCCTTCTCACTGTTCTGCAGACTGTGAGCACCTAACCTTTACCTTTCCACAGACTGTGCCCTACCAGGTATAGGAAGCAACCTCATTATGTCATCAATGACTTCTTAATAGCTGCACAAGTTACACAGAATCCTGGGAGATACACATGTCAACTTGACAGCTTTTCTTCCTTACTTCTAAGTTCCTCAAAGTGGGGGGCAGGTTGTCCTCCTGACTCTCAGGAGGACAATGGGCGTGAGGTTCAGTTGTCCACTTTTCTAAGAAATCCGATTCCTTGAGGTCACATGTGGGGAGGGGGCTTCTAACTTAAGATAAAGAAAGGGCAACTACTTTTTAGTATCCCTGGCTCTGTGTTCGCATTTTGCCTGCATTTTTCTATGCATCATGCTAAGAATCCTTCAAGGGAGGAAATGGAGGCATAGAGATGGCACTTAGCTGCTATATTCATTTCCAAATATGGCAGGTCCCTACTCTCCCAAGCAGAGGGGCTTTGATGATGCTTTCTTGCTCAGCATCTTGGAAGATTTAGAATGAAGGCAACTTTGGAAACAGACAGTATCTGTTTCACTATGTTACAGAGACCAGAGCAAGTATTAGTATTTGAATAAACGAGAACACACAGGGTGTTGGTACTCTTTTTCATATCTTTCCAGTCCTGGGAAAACTGTCAACATCTCTGAGCTTTGCTTTCTTTATAAAAATAAGGAGAAGGCTTGTACTTGTCAATGTTTCTAAGCAGAGAACACTAAAACACTCCCGTTTCTAGTTGAACTCATTGAGTTTATTACTCACTGCAGCAAGGAAGTGGTATGATCTTGGATAATAATATGCAGTCCTCTTAAGACAGTGTTAGAAAGAACTTATAAGATGTGGGCTTCTGAGCTGAATTTGGGGACGATTTCAGATAGCTGGCTTTGTCTGGATGGATGATATTTAGGAAGTATGATAGTTCTCTGAGTATCTTAATCTTAACTCTAAGAGGCAGAGACTAGATAGGGGTTAGTACTTGGCCAAGAACTAATGGTCACTCAAGATAGGAAGGTGTATGGTCATATTGATGGTTTGTGTAATGTTTCCTTTGCTCAGTGCTCAAACATGATTATCCAATGTCCTATTTTTTTGTAGATCTTTCACCAACCCAGAATGGTCTCATCTGGTGTGGAAGCATTGTAAAATGTTTATGTTGAGCAGGAGAACAGAAGGGCCATTGTGGTACCAGCTCAGGTCTTGGAACTCAGAGGTTGCTTTTCTCTTTCTCTATCAATCTCAAAGGGTCATGATGAGAGTGAAAGAGATGTATTTGTTAAATGCTTTATTCCAGTGTTATCAGAGTAACCATTTGATGAATGTCAGACATGATAATAGTGATAGTAATACTATGTTGTTGCTGTTATTGTTGTTCAGTCACGCAGGTGTGTCGCACTCTTTGCGACCCCATGGATTGCAGCATGCCAGGCCTCCCTGTCCCTCTCCCAAAGTTTGCCCAAGTTCATGTCAATTGCATCAGTTTTGCCATCCAGCCATCTCATCCTCTGACACTTTTTTCTCTTTCTTCCCTCAGTCTGTCCTAGTATCAGGGATTTTTCCAATGAGTTGGCTGTTCGCATCAGATAATCAAAATTCTGTAACTTCAGCTTCAGCTTTTCCATTCCATGAGCATTCAGTGATGATTTCCCTTAAGATTGGCTAGTTGGATCTCTTTGCTGTCCAAGGGACCTGCAGGAGTGTTCTCCAGCATTACATTTTGTAAGTATCAATTCTTCAGGCTCCGCCTTCTTTCTGGTCCAGGTCTCAGAACCATACATGACCACTGAGAAGACCTTAGACTTGAGTATATGAACCTTTTTAGGCAGAGTAATGTCTCTGCTTTTCAACACACTGTCTAGGTTTGTCATAGTTTTCCTAACAAGAAGCAATCATCTTCTGATCCCATAGCTGCAGTCACCATCCATAGTGGTTTTAGAGGAAATCTGTCACTACTTTCACATTTTCCCCTTCTATTTGCCATGAAGTAATGGGGCCAGATGCCATGATCTTAGTTATTTAGTTTAAGCCAGCTCTTTCACTCTTCTCCTTCACCCTCATCAAGCAGCTCTTTAGTTGCTCTTCGCTTTCTACCATTAGGCTGGTATCATTCACATAACTGAGGTTGTTGATGTTTCTCTCATCTCTTGATTCTAGCTTGTAACTCATCCAGCCTGGCATTTCTCATGATGTGCTCAGTGTATAGGTTAAACAAACAGGGTCACACCAGACATAGTTGAGGAAACAGAGGAGATATTTTAATGAAATTCCCTTGCATTCTCTGTTATCTAGTCAATGTTGGCAATTTGGTCTCTGGTTCCTCTGCCTTTTCTAAACCCAGCTTGGACATCTGCAAGTTATTGGTTCATATAACACTGAAGCCCAGCATGCCAGATTTCAAGGCACGACTTTATCAGAATGGGAGGTAGGTGCAATTGTCCAACAGTTAGCACATTCTTTAGTGCTATCCTTTTTGGGAATTGGGATGAGGATCAACCTTTTCCTATCCATGACCACTGCTGAGTGTTCCAGATTTGCTGACATATTGAATGCAGCACCTTGATTGCATCATCCTTTAGGGTTTTGCATAATTACTGGAATTCCATTGCATCCACTAGCTTCATTAACAGCAGTGCTTCCTAAGGCCCACTTGACTTGGCAGTCCAGAATGTCTGCCTCTGGGTGTCTGACCACACCATCATATTAATCTGGTTCAGTAAGATCTTTTTTGTACAGTTCTTCCATGTAGTCTTTTCATCTTTTCTTGATCTCTTCAGCATCTACTAGGTCTCCACTTTTCTGTCTTTTATTGTGCCCATCTTTGGGTGAAATGTTCCCTTGATATTTCCAATTTTACTGCAGAGATCTCTGGTCTTTCTCCTTCTTTTGTTTTCTTCTAGTTTTATGCTCTGTTCATTGAAGAAGGCCTTCTTTTCTCTCTGTGCTGTTCTTGGGAACTGTGTATTTAGTTGGATATAGCTTTCTGTTTCTCCCTTGTTTTTTGCTTCTCTTCTTTCTTCAGCTACTTGTAAAACCTCCTCAGGTAACCACTTTGCCTTATTGTTTTTCTTTTTCTTTGGAATAGTTTTGTTTGCTTCCTCCTATAAAATAATATGGACCTCTGTTCATAGTTCTTCAGGCATATTGTTCACAAGTTCTAATCCCTTGAATCTATTTGTTACCTCTACTACATATTCATAATGGATTTGATTTAGTCATACCTGGTTGGCCTAGTAGTTTCCCCTGCTTTCTTTAGTTTAAGCCTGAATTTTTCTATGAGAACCTGATGATATGAGCCACAGTCAGTTCCAGGTCTTGCTTTTGCTGACTCTACACAGCTTCTCCATCTTCAGCTACAAACAATGCAACCGATTTGATTTCAGTCCTGACCATTTGGTGATGTTCATGTGTAAAGTTGTCTCTTGTGCTGTTAAAAGAGGGTATTTGCTATGACCAGTGCATTCTCTTGGCGGAATTCAGTTAGACTTTGCCTTGCTTCATTTTGTTCCCCAAGGCCAAACTTGCCTGTTACTGCAGGTATCTCTTGACTTCTTATATTTGCATTCCAATACCCAGTGATGAATTGCACATTTTATTTTGTGTGTGTGTTAGTTCTAGGAGGCCTGTGATTGTGGTTTTCATTCTGTCTACCCCTTGATGTATAAGGATAAGAGGTTTCTGGAAGCTTCCTGATGGGAGAGACTGACTGTGGGGTAAACTGGGTCTTGTTCTGATGGGTGGGGCCATTCTCAGTAAATCTTTAACTCAATTTTCTGTTGATGGGAGGGGCTGTGTTCCCTCCCTCTTTTCGACCTGAGACTAAACTATAGCAGGGGTAATAAAGATAATGGCGACCTCCTTCAAAAGGTTGTGCACTCACTGTCGTATTCAGTGCT